AGCTGTAGGATAAATTACAAGCATTAGTGTCTTGTACAGGTTTATAGAAATGTGGTCAATATACACTCACAAGCCAGTTCATTAGGCACACCTTGCTAGTACCAGGTTGGACTCCCTTGTGTCTTCAAAGCTGTGTTAATTCTTAGTGGTACATATTCAAAATGTGCCTGGAATATGTGTGGCTGCACATCTATGATGCTAATCTCTTTCCCACCACATCCAAAAGCAGCTCACTGTCATGTTCAAGAAAGCAGTTGGAGATTATTTGAGTATTGTGACATGGTGCTGTCACACTGAAAGCAGCCATCAGTAAACTGGTACACTGTGGTCATAAAGTGATGCACATGGTCAGCAACAACACTCAGACAGGCTGTGGTGTTTAAACGATGCCCACTTGGTAGCAAGGGGCCCAAAGTGTGCCGAGAAAATATCCTCCACACCATTACGCCACAGTCACCAAACTGAACTGCTGATGCAAGGCAGGATGGATCCATGTTTTTATGATTTTTGCACCAAATTCTGATCCTACATTCTGAATTTTTCCAGCAGAAATTCAGACTCAGACCAAGCAGTGTTTTTCCCACCTTCTATTGCATATGTGTCAAACTCTGGCCCGCGGGCCAAATTACTATTAGAGCTGGCCTACTGGTATTATATAGCTAATATATATATTGTTTAATATTAAGCTTTGCTTGTTCCATATTCAGTTTTCCAGCAAAACTTATTTGAGTCCATAAGAAAAGATTCATTCCTATATCTGGAGGAAGAATTTTTTTTTAATAAATATTAATGCTAGCCCGCGACTTTGTTCCAGTTTTGAATTTTGGCCCACTGTGTATTTGAGTTTGACACCCCTGTTCTATTGTCTAATTTTGTTGAGTCCGTGCAAGTTTTCTCAGTTTCCCGTTCTTAGCTGACCAGAGTGACACCTAGTGTCATTCACTTGTAATCGGAAGGTCACAGGGCAGCTGTGGCTACAACTGTAGTTTGCCTTCACCAGTGTATGAATGTGAGAGTGACTGAATAGTGGTATTGTAAAGCGCTTTGAGGGGTCCCGAAAAGCGCTATATAAATGCAATCCATTATTATTATTATTGTGCTGCTGTAGACCATCAGCTTCAAGGTTCGACGTGTTCAGAGGCACTCTTCTGCATACCTTGCTTGTAGCAAATAGTTATTTGAATTACTGTTACCCTTCCATCATCTTAAAGCTGTGTGGTCTTTCTCCTCTGGAAGAAACAAGGAATTTTCATCGGAGAATTGCTGCTAATTGGATATTTTCCCTTTTTGTTTAAAAAAAAAAAAAAAAAATCAATCTTATAGAGATGGCTGGGTGAGAAAAATCACAGCAGAACAGCAGGTTTTTTTTGTTTGTTTTGTTTTTTTAAATACTCAGACCAACAACCATACCATGTTCAAAGTCACTTAAAACACCTTTCTTCCTCATTCTGATGCTCAGTTTGTAACTAATGAATTGGCCAGTGAATGTATATTTATGCTGTGACATGACTGACATGGAGTAATATTAAAAAGCATTAAGTACCTGAAGGCATTATTTGGCAGGCTTTAAAGGAAAGGAAGAGCATATTCACTTATTCATCAGTTCAGATGTTTAGTAGCTGAAGTCATTCGTGCTTATGCTGTTTATAAAAGGCTTTAAAGTGGACCTCCTCATTCCCAGCACCACATTTTTATCTTGCACTCTACTAAAGGAGCTTTCAATGACCAACACTTCAAATCAATCATTATCTGCCACTGTGAAACAATAGATTTCCTCAGTTGTCTGTCTGACAAAAAAAAAAAGAAAGAAAAAAAGAAGCTAATTCGGCTACTATTTGAATTTTAATATTTTACTTTCTGTCACTGGCTGCATCTAGGCTTGTTTTGAACCTGGTGGCTGGGCGCCACCTCTCAAATGCATCTGTCATATCAGTAATATGAGGGTGGATATTAAAAGGTTATGCAGCAAGATTATAGCAATGTTGTTTCTCTGAATATTCAAATGATACTATTATTAATATTAGTGCGGATTTAGTCAATCACAAGCTGTACAAACCAGAGTCTACATACATTTCTGGTAAAAGGTGTATATGAGGGAAGTGTAAAGAAATATCAAATTAAGTAGAAGATTTTTTTAAACTTTTCCTGCAAAAGCAAGAATCATCAAGTGATGTTTACTACATATTTGTAAGTGGTCTGATTATAAAAAACATATGAGGTCCACTTTGCGTGAATCACGTAATGCAGGTGTGAATAATTTTACCTTTGCTTCAATTCTTCCAACTGTTTTTTGAGCTTTGAGTGCTCATCCTTAAGCTGGCAAAGGGAAAAAAACACACAAAACAGTTAATATTCAGTCACTGTCAGTTGAATTTAAAAATCAGAAGCATGTGGGTCTCTGTATCCAAAGAATAAAGTTTAAACCTTTACAACATCACTCTGGTCTCTGTGTTTATCATCGAGCTCCTCAGTCAGTCTGTTTTTCTCATCTTGGAGCGTCTGCAGGGACTGCGACTTCACAGAGACCGCTTCTTTAAGCTCCTCACTGGAGAAAAATATTGTTGTTCAACTCATCCAAGTAATTTTTCAACTCAAACAGACCATACACTGGCTTTTCATATCTTTACAATAATATGCTATTTAGTTGATTGAAAATATGAATATGATATGTTTCTGTAACAGAAAACAGTTGAGGATGAGGATGTACTCACATTTCCTGGCATAAACCTTTGCTCCTCTGAGTTTCAGTGCAAAGCTGTTCTTTGGATACATTAAGGTCCTCTTGATACTTGGAGTTCTCTTTCTTCAGCCTTTCCAGCTTTAAAAAACAAACAAACAAACAAACAACAAAAGGTGGAGATAAATACAATCAGAAGATTTTTACTTCACACCATCACTTTCACATCACTTTATACAAAAAGCCACATTATTAGAAGTTTCTCTTCAAAATCCCATCTTTTACCTGTGTTTCCAACTCCTGCTTGGACGTCTGCAGCTCGTCCAGCAAAGACTGGACTTCATTCTTCTGCTGCATCAACACGGCCTTCTGTTTTGTCAGCTGTTCGAGAGCCTCGGCTGTCTTGCCAGAGGCCTCTGCAGCCTAAATGGCAAATGATCAGAGCAGATTGAAATTAAAAGCAGCAGATTGTTGGTTAGGACACCAAATTACTTTAACCAAAACAATAGAATTAGAAATGTGCAGATCAGATTTAACTACTTGTAATGCATGATTTGTTTTGACAGCAATTTAAAAAAAAATGTAATTAACTACATGTTAAATTTATTTCCTCAAATAGCTCGACAATTATCAGACCTCAGGTTTTTGCAATCCAACTGTGCCTAAAAATGAACAACATGAAGATTTCACAATGAGGAAACATAATTACTACATAAAGACTTAAATCCTGTGGCCTCAGAACGGACACTGACAGCTGATTGTCTTGTGGAAGAGACAGTCAACTATTTAAATTATGGCATTTCTCACTTATCATTGAGCAGGACC